TGAGCTAAGACTATCCGTAATAATGAAATATTAGACAGAAGGTAGTGAGGAAATTCGCTCTACTGCGTAAAATATAGCTGCGAATTCCGCAACGTATATTTGATCACCATCTTCGACTACGTCGTACAGACTCATTACTTAAAACCTAATTTAATCTAAACGCCTTATTCTAGCACTAAACACATGTTAGGTCAAAATAAAATCAAACTCGCTACAAACATCATTAAAGGAACGCAAACAAGAATTAAAACAATTATTGAATCCAAAGTTCGTTCTGTGAAATGGAATTGCAAGTATACGGAGCATGGTTTCTGCAGTTCAGAAGGCGCTTGGAAATTTCCCAAATCCAGTGAAAGATTTTATAATTGACCTATCTGTGAAAACATTTTTACCGTTAATTACATGGTGGTATACTTGATTGCAAAAATCAAGGGAACAACCATCGACCGATAGTGATCTGGTATTCTATGGATTTCTTGCATCATGGTCAGATGAAAATTTACAGAGAAGCGATAGAAGGCTTGAAAGCAATCACGATCAGGGGTTGAAACTGTTGACGTTTTTTACGACACTCGCTTCGTTGTCATGCGCGACAGTCTGTTTTCATTCGTACTCTCATGCTCTACCGTCGTCTCTCGTACACAACACAAACAGGAGAACAACATTCGAGCAAAAAGAAAATTTTCAAATAACTATCATATGACATGTGTGATTTCGTTCTAATTCCTCAATTTGGTGTAAATTAAACCATTTCTGATCAGAAATGTTCTTATTAGGACATCATTGCTTGCTATTTTCAGAATTCACACAAGCACATCAGCAGCAGCTCTTATTATGAGAAAAACTAAAATACATACATTTGTGACGGTCTTCGGCAACAGTGTCGTATAACAGAGCCTGTCATGTGACATTTTAGTTTGGTACTGTAATTTGATAGCTTGTTTTGCAAATGTCGGAAGCAAAGGCAGTCGATTATCACAGAAAATATGTCGACTACGGTGACCACTTACAAGACTGATCACGATTGGAAATTACTGAAGAAGGATCAACCTCCAGCGTCATGTACTCATAGTACAAACTCATGAATCTTGTCTTAGGATTTCGGTCGAGAAGCTTCTCAATGTTATTACACGGGAAAAAATCCGTTCTGAAATTTGTCAACCTCAAGTCACGAATTTCGGAACAAGTAAATTTTTCGTTTACGAATATACACCATGAATAAAATTCATGGAATCGTGAACATTGTTCCACAAAATAATCGTAACGCCTGCGTTACGGTGCACCGGGCACCAGCAATGGTAATAGAAGTCATAGAAACGTGAACTCTGTTTTTAAAATCATGATTTTCAGTTCTTGTAAACGTGATTTAAGTTCATGAGTTGTGCTTGATATCGTGAACCTGTTCTAGAAAACGGGAGCATGGTTCATGAGTTAACAATAACATTATTGTCAATGTTTTGACCATGAAATAATCTGTTTACCACTGCCGGTAGTTTACCAAGATCTACCGTTAGCACCACCAAAAAATCTGCCGCTAAATACGTCGACGAAATACCAGAACCTGCCACGGTAGTCATCGATACAGAAGGACAAAGCCAGTCGCTGGGAAAAAATCCAGACAACTCTTCAAAGCAGCTAGCGCCCAAAACAACTGCACTGGAGCCGGCTCCACTGTTCACTCCGAAGCTAGACGAAATTGATGCTGTACCAGTGCCCGTAAACTAGACGATCATTCGCCGTATAAAATATATTGATTGGTGAATTCAGCACTCGTTGGTTTACCAATTCTACTGCCACCGCCGGAATAGTATATACCTAGCTGATATAAGTGAAATTGAACCTTCTCCGGGACACCTTGCCTGCCAAACAACTGGTCATAAACAACTGCTCGTGATTCAAGTTCACGATAGCAGGAACGAAATCACGCTTATGGGTTCATGGTTCACGAAATCATGATTTCATTTTAAATTTGATATAGCGTTACGATTTTTTTGGTTGCACTGAATAGGTGTGAACTATGTTCATGGATTTGTGATTACATTCTTGAAAATCCGAATTAAGTGAATACGGGAATAAAGTCATGAATTCAGATGAACTAGCAGTTCACGGAATAATGATTTTTTCTTCACGAATAAAGGAACGGTTTTTTTTTTTGCGTGCATTCATTAATGGCAATCGAATGTGCAGGAAGGCAGCTTCCACACCTGCGTAGAATATCGCACCCATTCATCAACGTACATGAACCGGGACCAACGGCTTTACTTCCCTTCCGAAGAAAGACGTGACCAGAGATTGTTATGCCTCAGAAAAATCCCACCGACCTCAACTGGGATTGAAGCCAGACCCATTGGGGTGAGAAAGCAGTCACGCTTACCACTACACCACCGGCGCCGGCAGAAGTTGTTCATAACTTGTGCGGAGTTTGTCCGAAAAGACGCCGATACAAACGGAATCAAAAGCTCCCTTAATGTCCAAGGGGGCCTCCCTTAGCTCAGCCGGTAAAGGCGCAGCTACAAAGCAAGACCATGCTGGAGGTGGCTGAGTTTGATTCCCGGTCCGGTCTAGCAATTTTTCAGGTTGGAAAATTTCTCGACTTCCCTGGGCATAGAAGTATGATTGGACTTGCCACACAATTATACCAATGCAAAAATGGTACAGGCATCGAAAGCTCTCAATTAATAACTGTGGAAGTGCATCATGAAAACACTAAGTTGAGAGCACGCAATAAGCTAATATGCGATATGCAATAAGCTTGAAATGCGAAGAAGAAGAAGAATGTCCAAGAAAACTGAACCCATTTGCTGTTTTCAAGCTGAATTTCAGTAGAAAGCAACGCAAGGCAGGCATTCGTTCCTTTGCCCCAACGAAATCTAAATTGCGTATCTGAAAGTAAACCATTCGTCTCGACCCACTTGTCCAGCCGAGGAAGAATCATTTTCTCCAACAATTTCCGTATGCAGGATAGCATCGCGATGGGACGGTACGAGTAATAATCCGACGCGGGTTTATCAGATTTCCTAATGGCAATAACTCTTATTTGCCTCCAATCATCCGGAACATTGATCTGCTCCAGACGTCTGGGAGTTTTTTTTTAAGTAAGTTGAACTTGATTCTATCCATTTCTGGAGCTGAATTGTTACATGAAAGGAGAGCAAGTGAGAATTCTGTCATCGAAAAAAAGGAATCTATGACGTTCCTAGCCGATGGAGGATCACGAATATTGGTTTCAATCAGGACAAACTTTGTGCGCGAAGCTTAGGATCTATCTGTCCGAATACTCCGTGTCTTCGTTGACCGGTGATGACGCGTTTCGCATTCTCCTGCCGACATTCCAGAGCGATCTCATGGTATGCGATAGCCTGTCTACGAACCGCCGTCAGTAACCGCGTTTCTCAACTTTGATGAAGCTCTTAAATGTTTTCGCGGGCCCGTGTATCGCTCAAAATCTTCGACCCTACCGTGTTTGCGGAAGCGTTTAAACACGGCGTACTTCTCGTTGTTCGCGTCGGAACATTCCTTATCCCACCACGGAGTGAGAGGTCGTTTGCGAACGCAAACACCCGGAACGTGTTTTGTCTGTGCTAATTCTGGCGGTTATTTCATAATGTAATCCTCCATTAACGGAATTACCACGACCAGCAACATGAGACCCTCAAAATCATTCAAACATTCAATTAGCACAGTAGGCAGGCAGGCACTTCAAAAAGGGGAACCCGTAATGCATTTTTACCATCTCGCTCGCTCTCCCACACTGACTCGCAATCACGTAGGCACTTAAATGTGTCCGAAAGCGAATGTGAGAATTTGTAATGTTGATAACAGCTCTCGACTTTCCCGCATAAGTATTAGCCTACTCTCACAATTCATACATCCACTGAATGATCGTGGACCGACCGGACCAGCCACCCAAGTGATGGTGCTACTACCTATACTTGCTACACACAGCTGCTGGTTGATAGCTCAGTTGTTAGCTAAGAACAAGTTCACATGTAGTGGGTTGACATAACATTATTACGACAAAATGCGTTCTTTGTTGGAACGACCGATTATGGGTCGTGTTGTTGCTAATCAAGTGATCCGGTACCGGTATGTCAACACTTAGATTTTTGTTGAAAAAAAAGCTTAGTAGAATGATTTTCAAGATAACTTTTAAACCGAAAAAGAACGCCAATCGGACGAATGTTGTCATACAGAAAAATCTCAATTGAATTCCACGATTGGTTGTGGCTAATTACTAAAAACAAGCGTCAGAGAACGCGTGGTCGTCGTCGTCGTCTTTGTCGTCACCTAGTCATTCGTAATAGGGTGAAGTGTATATTTTTACAAGACGAGTTTTAAGGTGAATTGCCGTGGAAACCTTCACACATATTCTTGTTTTCATTTGAACCGTATTTTTCGTACATTTTTTTAATGGAAAAACGGTTCGAATGAAAACGAGAATATGGGTGCTTATTTCTGATTACTCTAAAAAAAATACACAAATTTCAAGAACACAAATATCAGCTCTCACAAAACATACAACACTGAAACTGGAACTAATCGTGCGCTGCAGTGCAGCATACAGAGAGTTCTAATTTCATGTGCTAAATCCCAGCAGAGTCCGAGATTGCTCCTCTAGAAAACTTGAAGTGATAGGCCATATTTGGACTCTTCAACGAATCACCTTAAACGAGATGCGGATTCCCGGTATCAGTAGAGCAGCGAATAAGAAAATAATGATGCCGGTGCTGTTCAGCGTTTGCATGATGGTCAATTGAGGCAGTAGTCTGCTATCGCTGCTATCAGTACGAAGTCGCCTGTAGTGGTAAATTTGGTTCACAATTCAAAACCAAAGCTCCAGTTGCAATTCAAAACTCGATTGATAGCAGGTGAATCTTATCGGCTCCAGTACAAGTGATACCTGTTTTGTTTATCTCAGGTTGAATTGGCAATCGATATGATTGAGTGGCACTCAATGAACTATTATTAATTTTAGTGTATTTTTTTTTTTCTTTTTTCAGAAAAACGTGCCACTGAAGGAAGTGGTCTAGTGTCCCATTACGAGCAAAAGCGTAAAATAAGTGATTCTGAAACCATGTCTGATAACAAAGCAGACACTGTTTATGGTAAGTGCAAGTTCTTTATTTAAGCGTGGGTGGTACATTTAGATACATTATAGTCCGATACGTCAATTTTGCAGGGGTATTTAGGGAAACTGTGGGAAAGACGGAAAACTGATTTTTAGATTACTGAACTGTTGAATTATTGATTTTTTGTAGCACAAACTATGAATTTAAAATATTTAATGCATTTGGAAGAATGCTCATTATTTTGAGTTTTTCCCCATGCTCCATATAAACCCCATTGGTCAAATTTGTTAAATAGTACCATAACTAGTACACCTCCCCTATTGAATTTTAAAGATAGCTAAAAAGTCTTAAATTATGTGTTGTCAAAGATGGACCAATCCAAAATTTACCTTATGAATTCGCAAAAATCTCCACAAATTCTTCAAGTCTGTTGCTCTATTTGAACATTCAAATACACCTACTATTTCTATCTTCTACCGTTTCAGACATCGTGATTCCGTCAATGATAATCGCTGCCCTATTTATTGTTAATGGCATCGTATTCGCGGTCATAATGCGCTACAGGAACAAAAGAAAACAACGCCTTGAACTAGACAGTAAGGAACTAGCTGAACTGTAAAGCATCCCATCACTTCCCGCAATCAACCAAACGAAAAGTTACATAACAAACAAACAGAACAAAGCATGAACGAATACTCAAAACAATGATAATGCATGTAGAAGAACAATGGAGTCATTATAGGAATGGGTATGGAAGAATGAAAGCAAACCATCATCAACCGTCGCCATCATAATTATGCGAGGATAACTTTCGCCATCACATCCGTCACGTGCTAAAATGGTAGTGCATTTCGAAAACCGAGTACAGAATAATGTCGTACTGCTGTCTCTCCATCTTGTCTGTATGTACATCAATCTTATTGTACCCTTTACACGTGTGTCACACCACCTAATGCAACAAAAGACATGCCCGCCGCTTCTCAAGGGCAAGGACGCCATCATCTGCAGCAGCAGCAGCAGCAGTAACCAGCAACCCACACAAATAAATCATATCATCAACTCATCTTCATTATCATGGCCACTGGAGCATCATCATCGTCATCATCGTCATCATAGATGATTGATGATGAGAGTAAGGAAACCCAACATTATCATCGCCGTTAAAGGTAAGTCTAATCCACAGTTCAATTATTGGAAGAAGGATTCAAAATGCGCTCAGTTCAAGAGTCAAAGCCAGATATTTTGTCGCTCTAAGAAACAATGGAAAAAAATCGTCGTAGTTGAATAGCTTATAGAATTCGAGCAAACAAATATTAGAAAACTCTATACATACACACACACACACATACACGGTAACTATTTTGCACGCTGAAAAATTATTATATACAAACTACAAATCTCTTATATAGCATTCAACACAAAAAAAACAATGGTTATCGTGAGAGAAACAAGATATAAAACGAACAAAAAAAATATTTATATTAAGCAACTGCTAACGAATTTTGATAACTTATTTCCTCGATATTTTTTGAGTCCCGAAAATATTTTCTTACTTTTCCGCTTTGAAAATGCCAGGAAAACTCAATCTAAAAATTAGTACTCGAAAGTCGCAGCTTGGATCACACCGGGTAATATGTAATATTTTCTAAAATTATACAAATATATTCAAAGCAAAACGAGCAAAAAAAAAATTGCTAACTTGATAGTTCCATGTTAGAGTATCGATGTATATTTTCCAATCTAAGTTCTGTAGAAAAAAACAAAACATAAACGAACCACCATTCTGGAAAATAGAACGAAGAAAAGCAAAGGGCGTTTTGAAACCCAAGAATGCAAAAGTGACTGCTAAAACAACACAAAACAAAGTAAGCCAAAGATTAGATGTTAAACGCGCCTATAATATGCAGCCTGCTTTGATGAGGAAGGTAGAGAACAATTGAAAGTAACTTACCACACTGAAAAGAAAATCAACATGTGCTTTAAAGGAGGAAAATACCGAGGAAATTTAACGCTATAACCAAATTGTATGGAGAAAAAAAAACCTGTGGAACTGATGAGGGAATGGAATCCGGAACGATGCAGCTGGCCAAGTGAATTGTGATTGAAAACAAACAGAGACACGACGAGAAGGTGTGATAGGATGAGGATTTTTATCATTTAGTTTGTGGGCCCGTTCGCACGTGCGATGCAAAAACAAAACTAACGGAAATGCTAACAAAAATTGAACTAATAATGTATTTAAACGGAAGAACAAAGCCGTATGTGCTGTAAAAAAAATCACGTTGGTGGGATTTTCCCGCAATGGGGACATCTCATTTCGAAGACGAATCTAATTTTCGATTATTCAATTTGTTTTCTTTTTCGTTTAAGATTTCCACGCTGGGAGAATGTGAAGTGGGAAACGATTTCTTTCTTTCATAAATCCGTTATTTTCTTAATTTTTTAAGGAAATATTTATTTGCCGAATCAAACATTGTACTTCCATGCCGAAAAATAAAGTGAAACAATGAACCTAGCGATCGGCCGGTGGTGGAGCTCATTGTGTCCGAACTATCCATGTTTTAATTGGCTTTCATTTAGGAAACTTCTGTATCGAAGAATCACGTTGGAGATCACCCCAGAATCTAAGAGACAACTGATGGATTCCTTTGCCTCCAAGAACATAGCCATACGTGTGGTATTTAGTTTCAGCGCAGCCTTCCATAAGGGTACACCTGGAGATGACCAAAGTAGACAGAATCACCAATCGACCACCTTTGCATTGACGGAAAGCATATCGTTAAGCGTATTTTGCATGCAAAATAGCACCCTCTACCATGCACATTCCCAAGCATTGATTTGCAACCGGAGCATCCCTCGTTCATGCCATTTTTTCACTAGTTGCTTTTCCCTCGATCTGTCAACACACCAGCTGTGTTGAATAAAAACAAACCAGATGCAAGTAAGTGATGTCGGTTTGATTGAATTTTGCAGAAATACGGATCCGTAGGAGATATTCACAGAAACTCAGACTTTGTTTAGGGATTTGTTTTGATTGTTTAGTGTGCATTTTCTTTTGCTGGAAACGTGTTAAACGTGGTAACGCATCACTAATGAGTGCCCTTTCTACCACCGCTCATGACTTTAATATTTACACAGCAAAAAATATTATATGTCAAGAGCAAATTTTCATCATGTCGAAAGTAACATTCGCACCGATCCGAGAAAAATAAAGTTTTGTTTTGATGACCGAAAAGTTATTCCTATTTCCAATTAAAAACGTATAATCTCATAATGATAGCAATGTTTAACATATTAATTAGGGTTTTAATCATACAAAGCAGATCGCTAGCTTTCATACTAAAAAATACTGGTTTTTGAGTCAAAAGTTATTATACGTCGTTTGGTGGCCCCCTAATGTTACTTAAGTCAAAGTATATTTACCAGGATATTCGGGAGAATTATCAATCACGTCTCCTTTCGTGCAACCCATTCATCATTTTAAGACCACTGAAATCATCTTAGCAACAAACAGTTCGATTTATCCAATTTAATAATGAGAAAGCTCATTCCTTGTCGAACGTTCGGCTGATCAAGTTCACTTTGTGCTACTCTCCATCGTCACAAGTTTTTTTTTTTTTTCTGCGCTCTGTATATTGGATTTTTTCCCCGAACGGGGTTTTTTTGATCCACTCCCCTGCTAGTGACTAAAGCAAAAAGTACCACTAGCGGACCAAGACGCTCTACTCTGGAAGCAGCGGCCTCGGCGAGACCGGAGGTTCGCCCGTCCAACTTTAACGCCATCAACCGAGTCATCCCATCATCCGATCGCACCATCACATTTGCATCGTTCAACAGCAAGGTCATCAGCCGTACCACAACACAACAACAGATTCGGGCTATCGAAGCGGGCCCTTTGTTAGCCAGCACGTGTTTTTGCCTGCATCTATAGAATACCCACTGCTTCATCGCATAGTGGATTTCTTCTCCGTTGGGAAGACGCGCCATCCCGGTATAGAGAGATAAGTAATTTTTTTTTTTTTCATCAGAAGTTTTTTTTTCTGTTTGGTTTGTTTTCCGATTTTTAAGATCTGATTAATTCCCCTACAGCGTTGCTTACCCTTTCTTGCTTATTATTTAATTTATATACATTAGTTTCCCTTGTTTTTATTTGTTTTTTTTTTTATTATTATAATTTTTTTGCTGAGCAATTTACCTAGAGTGCGGTAGATTCTATCCCATATACTTCTTTTTTTTCTTTTTTCATTTTTAATTATTGATTGATTTCAAATTTGTGGCAAGGAAAATATTTGAATTATTAACATCAAAGTTTTCTATACATTCCATTGCGGTGATACCTTAAGGCACCGCAATGGATGACAAAAATAAAGGCGGGGGATTGTCGCTTGACATCTCAGATGATGAGTCAATTAAGTCTCCTTCATTTGAAAAGCTCGATTCTTCTGAGGAAATGGATATCCTTGAAGAATCACTTGATTTGCTCACCAACAAAAACACTGGAGCCTACCCTAAAGGGAGTGTCAAACCACTGCCTCCTTCTCCTCCTACTCCCCCTTCTCCACCATCGCCACCTCGTCTACCTGTTCCCCCTACTCCACCCGTTCCCCCAAAAACTTCTGCGACCCCCCGCCACAAAGCATACCCTGATGACTCGAAAGGTCCGTGGGTTGTATTTTTCCGGCCCAAACAAAAACCTTTGAATATTACTCGGATTTCTAAAGATCTGACAACACATTTCTCGGCCGTTACCGACATTTTTAAGGTGACGCCAAACAAACTGCGAGTTACCGTTGACGACCGGAAGCAGGCCAACCGGATCGTTGCATGCGAGCGTTTTTCGATAGAATATCGAGTCTACGTCCCCAGTTGTGATGTAGAAATTGAAGGAGTGGTCACCGAAGCGAGTCTAACTTGCGAAGATTTCTTGCACGCCGAATCCTTCGGCATCTTCAAAAATCGTTGCCTCCCAAGAGTCAAGATACTGTCCTGCACTCAACTACAGTCAGTGTCGCTCATAGGTACGAAAAAAAGGTATACCTTATCAGACTCGTTTCGTGTGACCTTTTCAGGATCGGCATTACCTGACTACGTCACAATTGGGAAGGTTCGACTACCTGTACGCTTGTTTGTACCGAGGGTAATGAATTGCTTAAAATGCAAGCAACTAGGTCACACCGCAGACTATTGCTCAAACAAACCGCGCTGCGATCAATGTGGGGAGGTGCATACGGAAGGTCCTTGTGGTGCTGCCCCAAAATGTGTTTACTGCAAGGATACTCCGCATGCTCTGAGTGATTGCCCGAAGTACAAACAGCAGGGAGAAAAACTTAAGCGGTCATTGGAAGCTCGCTCTAAGCGTTCACTAGCAGAAATTTTGAAAATGACCGCTTCATCTTCCCAAACTACCCAAAAAAGCAACAACACATTCCACCTCCTGCCAGATGATGATCAGGGCTCTGATTCAGAGGTTGGTGAGGATCGTCCCTTTGTCTTTAACGGCAACCCGAGGAAGCGATGCAAAACAAACGTCATCCAAAAACCTCGTGAGGCCTCTCGTTTGGACTCTCAACCAACCTTGACAAATTTAAGAGGTAGCGGAAATGTACCAAAACCCCCACCACCGGGATTTAAAGTTTGTAATTTTAACAAAGACTTTCTGCCACTTCCGGGATCATCTAAAACCCCAGATATCCCATTTTTTCAGCCAGAAGAACAGCTGAAAAATCAGCAAGAACATGCTCCCATGTTCACGTTTTCTGGAATTGTGGAGAGCATCTTCAATATATTCAATGTCTCTGACTCAACGAGGAACATTATTAATTTAGTGCTTCCAATTGTGAAAACTCTTTTGAAGCAACTAGCTTCCAAGTGGTCCTTCCTTGCATCGATCATATCCTTTGATGGATAATTCTCCAAATGAGGTCGGGGATATGATCTCAGTCCTGCAGTGGAACTGTAGAAGTCTTATACCAAAACTTGACGCATTCAAATTTTTAGTTCACTCCTCACTTTGTGATGCATTTGCTCTTTGTGAAACATGGCTCTCTTCAGACACAAATCTTCCTTTCCACGATTTTAACATTATTCGCCTTGATCGAGCAGATTCGTATGGAGGGGTGCTTCTCGGGATCAACAAACTCCATTCCTTTTATAGAATCGATCTGCCTTCCGTGACAGGCATTGAAGTAGTTGCATGTCAGGTAAATGTTCGAGGTAAAAGTCTCAGTATTGCCTCAGTACATCTTCCTCCGAGAACTGCGATTTCTCGCCAAGGTTTCTCAGATATCTGCTCAGTTTTACCTGAGCCTCGGTTGATATTAGGAGATTTTAACTCCCACGGTACAGGCTGGGGGGAACTGTACGATGACAACCGCTCAACGTTGATATACGACCTTTGCGATAGCTTCAATATGACAATTCTAAACACTGGGGAAGTAACACGAGTAGCCAAACCTCCAACAAGAGAAAGTAGATTAGACCTCTCCCTCTGTTCGAGTTCACTATCGTTGGATTGCTCGTGGAAAGTAATCCAAGATCCCTACGGTAGTGACCACTTGCCAATCAAAATTTATATTACCAATGGTTCATCTTCTACTCGCTCGATTGACATCGCGTACGATCTTACGAAAAACATTGACTGGCAAAAATTTGCGTCCGCGGTTATTGATGCCAGTCAATCGATTGAAACACTTCCTCCACTGGATGAGTACTCCTTTCTCGCGCGTCTAATCATCGATTGTGCGCTGCAAGCACAGACGAAACGTGTTCCGGGTGTTTCCGTTCGCAAACGACCTCCCACTCCGTGGTGGGATAAGGATTGCACCGACGCGAACAGCGAGAAGTCCGCCGCGTTTAAACGCTTCCGCAGACACGGTAAGGTCGGGGATTTCGAGCGGTACACCGACCTCGAGAAAACTTTTAAGGGCTTGATTAAAGCCAAAAAACGCGGTTACTGGCGTCGGTTCGTCGATGGGTTGCCGCGAGAGACTTCCATGAGAACACTCTGGAATGTCGGCAGGAGAATGCGAAACGCGTCATCACCGGTCAACGAAGACAAGGAGTACTCAGACAGTTGGATATTCAGCTTCGCGCGGAAAGTTTGCCCGGATTCGGTGTCGGTTCAAACCAACGTTCGTGATCGTCCGTCGGGTAGTAACGAAATAGATTCCCCGTTTTCGATGGTGGAATTCTCACTTGCTCTCCGCTCATGTAACAACTCAGCTCCAGGAATGGATAGAATCAAGTTCAACTTGCTTAAAAATCTCCCAGACGTCGCGAAGAGACGCTTGTTGAACTTATTCAATCAATTTCTGGAGCACAACATTGTTCCGGATGATTGGAGGCAAGTAAGAGTTATCGCCATTCGAAAACCCGGTAAACCCGCGTCGGATTATAACTCGTACCGTCCCATCGCGATGCTGTCCTGTATACGGAAATTGTTGGAGAAAATGATTCTTTTTCGTCTAGACAAATGGGTCGAGTCGAATGGTTTACTTTCAGATACGCA